ATGGTGACTAAATCCAGAGATGTGTTCTGTTTGTTCTGGACGGGTTCGGCCTCACTGAGCTTCTATAGACGGATGTTATGGTACAAATGGAGGATGACAAAGTCTCACGTTCCACCAGAGCTGAGCACAGAGAACATTTACAGCTTTTCACGCACTTTTTACAAACACCTGAACCGACCGAAGAGCTTCAAACCAAAGACAAATCACTCAAACTGTCATTTAAAATAAGTGTGTGTTGATGTAGCAGCTAAAGACTTCCAGCAAAAGAACTGTAACCACCAGAATAAATCACTATATTTAACTTTTTGTTCTTAAATTACCACTTTATCTCAAAAATAATGTGAATTTTCCTGATAAAATGACTTTTACTCCACTTGTATAATTATTGTTAAATTATTTGCAATATTAAAAGATTTTTTAAAAATACTTATATTTTCTCAAATTATTACGTGTTCTCTTAAGTTTTCAAAAATGGAATCAACATAAGAATCAGCAGAACGAAAAAACAAAAACATAATTTTAAACATTTTGGAGTGAAACTCTTCAGTAAACTGCAAAAAAGAAAAAAAAAAAAACAACCCTCAGTCCTAAATTCATTTGGTCTTCAGTCTTAAAATCATCTTTTGCACAGTTTCGCTAAACTTGTAACATCAGATCTTTAGTTTTTCAGTAAATTCTGACATTTCCATTAAGCAGTAAACAGGTTTAAAGTTACTGACAGAAAATAGATGATTTGTTTAGGCCCTGCTCTGTCAGATGTGCAGCTTGTAATTTGACTTTAGCTGTGGAACAATCCCTCTGCGGAGGCCCCCAGGGGTCATGTGGTGAAAAATCATACTTTTTTTTTTAAGATTAATTAACTGAGGAATCATCTTTACCCAAACCAAAAGGTTGAATACGAAGACACAATTAGCGAAAATGCGAGATTTGTATCAACTCTTCGATTATCAGTTAATCAATTTGTTGCAACAATAACAGGTTAAAAAATACATTCACCAATAAGGTTAAGCCAGAAAGGTCGTGCATGTCAGAAAATGTGTAGTGGATTAGCTGTAGTACCTGGTTGTTCCACCAGGTGGAGCCTCTTACTGTTTAATACTGTAGAGACCAGACGAGGTGTGGGATGTTGGTGATTTTCAGGTTATCAACTAACTGCATTAATAACTTCATGGGTTAAAAACACACCAGTCAATTAGGTTAAGAGAACATCATGCATGTCAGAAAATTTATTGTAAAAAAATGTCGTATTTTCAGCCAAAATCTGCCATTTTTTTCAAAATGGCCGACTGTGTGTCGGGGGTCCTTTTTTTGTAATTTTCTAGATGGCGCTGTTGAGCCATTTTTCTATTGCGGTGTGTATTTCCCCCTATTTATAAAATTTTTCGCGAGGTCTGATGTGTGTGCCAAGTTTTGTGCGTTCTTGAGTACGTTTAGGACCTCAAAAACGCGTTTCATTGTGACGAAGAAATTAGCATCGCAGGGTTTATTGATGCATGTAGTTCAATAAAATGTCTTTTTAAAAATTTTTTACATTAAATAATAAAATATCACAAAATAAATTAACAATTAAATAACATTTTCTACCACATGACTCCTGGAACAGAATGACTCGAGCTGAGGTGTTTTTGTTTTTTTTACAGTGCACGCGGCTCGACTGTCGAAAACCAAAGTGAATAACGTTTCGTGCGGCTGGACTCAGACCTGGTGGTGATCACAGCATAAAAACAACAACTCTGTAGGTTTCTATTATTGAGTAAATATGACTGAAGTGTGATCAGCTGTACAAACACAATCAACCGCAACACAACTGAATCTAGTGAACCGAGAAGAAAAGAGTAAACAAAACCTCTCCGTGTCTCTGAGCCCTGAGGTTTGGCAAAAGTGCTTCGTTGATGCGAGAAAGTCGACCAACCGGCTCGCCGTCGCTCCCGTTATTGCCTCGGACCTCGACCCGAGCCGACCAATGGGAGGATGGCTCTGTGGGGGGGGGGCGGTCGGGTCCTTCCTGAAAGCCGATTGGTCGGAGCAGTTCGATCCCAAACGCTGAGAAGAAGGAGGTTTTTCTGTTCGCTGATCGATCAGCTGATATCAGTCCGATCACGTTCAGTCGCTTTGTTAAAGGACCAAACCGCAGTTTTTACACATTTTCACCACATTTACTCCAACGCAGCGTTTTCTGTTCACATCCTTTAAATGTGGAAATTAACCTGCAGCTTATTTTCTGTTTAGTCTATAAAATGTAACCTAGCGTGACCTTTAAAGTGCTTTTATACGTTTTGCATCACATTTGTTGAACTTTCGATACATTTTTTTCTGCTAAGGTTCGTCAATCCAATAAAAGCTGCTTTGATCATTGATTAATAAACACAAACAATTCCTGCATCACATTATTTTGACGAAACTGACGAATGTTTTAAAGTCAAACGGGGCTTTTGTGTGACTTCCTGCTCATTCTGTATCTTGTGTTTGTCATTGTTTTGGTCCTCTGTGGTAGTTTTTGGTCAGTTTGATGATAAAACAATCGAATTATCTAATTGGTCCATAAAATGTGGATCAGTCTTTCCTCAAATGTTTGGTCCAAAGAGATTTAGTTTACTGTCACAGAGCTGGATAGAAACCAGAAAATATTTATATTTAAAAAGCTGGAATCACAGCGTTTAGACTTTAAAAATTAGTAAGATATAATTAGAATAGTTGGTGATTAATTTAACAGCTGACAGCTAATTGATTATTCAATTAATGGTGGAAAGAAACTGACAAAGATTCAGTGTCAGCAGTAAACGAGGTGAAACCCAGAAAAACTTTGGTTTAGTCCTTGAAAGCGATGAACCTCCTGCTGCGGAATAAAATACTGTGAGACGTTTTGATGTTCGTCAGCAAAGTCCTGAAAGAAAACAAACTGAAACTGAGACGTTGTTTGGTAGAAAACCAGCATCTACACTCTCATCCAGAACGTCCTCCGCTGTCCGTACCGTCAGTGAACGCATCGCCGCCCAGTCAGTGGAACAATGCAGCTGATAGACCAAACATCAGAGTGTCCGTTATTTCATGGAAAAGTGTTTTTACTTTCATGGAAAAATATATGAAATCCACAGGAGTGTAAACTCGGAAATTCAAGGTTCCACCAGCAGGAAAACTGATTCGGTGTCTCAGAGGTTGAACCGTCCTGGACTCAGCAGCTGCTCGTAAATGATTCAGGTTTAACCCTCGAAACCCCGAACAGCTTGTGGGCGCCACGTTTCTCCTCACTGTGGGTGGTTTTTCTTGACTTTCCCACAAGTTTTCATTTCATTTTGATTAATTTTTTTTTTTTTTTTAATCTTTTAGGCCTTTTTAGTCATTTTTTGACCATTTTTCATCTATTTTAAAAACTGTTTTTGGTCTCGCTTTTTTTTTTTTAACTGTTTTGCATCCAATTTTTTTTTCCAGTTTTTAATCAATGTCATAAATCTTTTGCTGTTTTTTATTCAGTTGTAGATGTTTTTTGGTCTCTTTCGGTCCATTTTTCATGGTTTTAACGGCTTTTAATCCTATTTTAAAAGAGACAATGTTTTTTTTGTCTCTCTTTCGTCATTTTTTCAGAATTTTTTAACAGTTTTTCATTGAATTTTAGTTGATTTTTGTCACATTTCATTCATTTTTAACAATTTGTCATCCAACTGTATTTATTATTTCCTCTTCTTGCTAATTCCTGTGGCCGTTATGGACATTTTTGGTCAGCTTTTGGTTGTCAGTGCAGATGAAACAGGGTAAATGAGCCTCCTGTAAACTCCAGATTCATACTCCAGACATTTGATCTTCTGATCAGATATTTGCAGCGTAGCAGCTCGTAGCCTGAAGGATATTAAACTGGTTGGATTTACGAGAAGCTGCTGCAGCCTGATCCTGGGTAAACTGATGGATTCATCGGTTAACGAATCTTCTCATCTTCGAGAACATTTTCTCCACGTGTTGTTCGGCAGTTTGTCCTCGTGCAGCTTCAAGATCTGCTGACGGTGGTCAAGACGTTTTAATGTTGCATGACTCCTGTCGAGGTGTTTTCCCACTTGGCTGGTTCTTCAGTGGAAACTCAACAGTAAAAACGTTGCAGCTGATGATTATTTCCAGTATAAACAGGTTCATGTTTCTGCAGAAATCAGTGAAAAAACAAAGCCTGAAAATGCTTGAAAACTACAACAAGGAGAAGCAGCAAAGTTCTTACATCTGAGAAGCTGGAGCCCTGAAGAGTTTTGGCACTTTTGCATGAAATAAAAGATAAATTAATCATAAATTACTGATTAACTGCTGCAGGCGCAAGAAAAAAAACCTCAGAAATGAGCAGAGTCGCGGTTGAATCTTTGCGGACCTGCTGTACCTGCAGCCTCCAAACTCTACTCTCGAGATGTTTTTGTTAATTCTGCTTTCAGACGTGAACAGATTTGAACTTTTAACTCTTCAGCTGTACTTTGATTCATTCTGAAGCTGCACAGAGTCTGTTATCGGTGCTCACAAACTGCTTTTCGAGTAAAAACTGCAGCTTCTGTGATGAAAATCCTGGCAGAAGCTGACGGATGTCATGTTCAGACTAGTCAGCCGACCTGATAGGACTGAATCTGACAGTTTTATCCTCTTCTGTCGCCTGATGTGACGACTGTCCAACAGGAGCACAGAGACCGTGACCATGGCAACGGTAAAGACAGACTAAAGAGGCGGCCATGCTGTCTTCTCAATGCGACCAACCGTCCAAATGTAGCATGAATTTTAATCGAATTTCCAGGAAAACCAGACGAAGGAAACGCAGATTGACGCGTTTCTGTCCGCTGCTGCTCTGGTCAATAAACAGCAGGTGGCACCGATTCTGCAGTTAAACCACCACAGAAGAAGAAGACACCAGGAAGTCATTAAGCTCTGAAAGACAAACCCAGAGTGGACGCCGTCTGTCTGTCAGGTGTCGGATTGTCTGGCTTTTGATTGGACGCCTGTGTTTGGCCGATGATGCACGATCTGGTTGGCTGTTAAGATTCCAGACCTGCACCTCAGACGCCTCAGACGAACGTTTCAACGAAGACTGACAAACACTGAGACAAAATGGCCGCCACAGGACGAGGACGCTGGGACGTTTTGGTTGGCGGAGCTCTGAACGTACAAAATAAAAGGTGGTGTCTTCTCTTGTTTCAGGCAGATGATCAGGAGGAGGGTTGAAGTTTCGCCGTCGTCATCGCCGTCGTCCTCGTCGTCGCTGTCGCTCTACGTGTCTTTGGGCTCCAGCTTGCAGGACATGTCGAACAGCAGGTTCTGGTTGTCGATGACCTGCAGCTGCCGGACGTAGGCCTTCGTCTGCAGGTGAGAGGGGGACGTCTCTGTATCCATGGCTACAGAGTGAAAACAGAGCTGTAGGTTATTAAGGCACAGAGCTGCAGAGAAGCAGAACAGCCACAAGATGGAGACAAATCCACCACGAATAAGACGCAAACACAAACCTGTCACAAATCACGACATTTTTAAAGTCCTTTGCTTCTTGTAGATTTGGAGCACATTTTTGACGGAGGTGAAGCTGTCTGTGTTGTTGTCTTACCTAGCTGACTGCTCCTGTATCGTCTAATGATCCTCACCATCTCGGCCACTTTATGCTGCAAAAAGGCAAAACCACAGAAGAAGAGGAAGAGACGGAGACAGTTAGAGACACTGACGTTGAATCAGCTCCTTCACAAACTTAACCATGGTCTCAAATGGTGTCTCGTTGTGGTTGTTTTGTGTCTCTTTTTGCTGTTTAATGTGTGTGTGGTCAGTTTGTGTCTATGTCACACATTCACACTCACCATCTTCTCAAAGTTGACGAGTTCACCGTGAAACGTTTTACAGCTCTCGTGAAGAAACGTCAAGTCTGTCGGAGAAAGAAAAGATTCAGGTTTGCTAAAGTCACTAGGAACTCACACAAACACGATCATAAGTACAAATCAGCGAACCAAATAGAAATGGAATGACCAGAGACACAAAAAAACCTTCCAAAAAAACACACAATAACACACAAAACAGACACAAATTACAATAAAGCTAAAAAATGACTGAAAGAAGACAATCTTTGATGTTTTGCAGGAAAAAAACCCTGAAGTCGATCTAGTGCGCTGAGTAGAGCTCTTTGTTTTCACTAATGATCAGACTCGTCTGGTTGTTTTCCATCACTTCCTCTGGTTCACCACTGAGGGGCTCCATCGGAAACTGTTTTATCTAATTACATTTTTTAGCTGCTCAGTGATTTTTGTGGACATTTTGTGTCTTTATCCGGCTGTTGTCCACCAACAGGAGGCGCTGCAGGACTAATAACAGCTGTGATCCCGCTTTTCTAAAGAGGAAACCTCCATCCTCCTCTCTGTGTTACCAAGGCGACAGAGAGCTGCATGTGTGTCTGTGCCTTTTAACAGTAGCTGATTAGCCAGAGGTGCTAATTAGCGAGGTGGAGCTCACGTTGCTGCAGCAGCTTCACATCTGGTCCACAGCTGGAGTCTCAGAGGACCAATCACTGCAGGTTTATAAATAATCTGATCGACCAGAATCCGATCATCAATTAGTCTGTTTCTGGAGACGAAAGGCTAGTTTCTGCTAGCATCGCTAACTGGGTTAATCAGTGCAGGTAAAGAAAACGCAGCTGTCTGTAAATGGGGGAAAAAACAACAACAAACTACCAAGAAAAAACGGAAAAAAAACCCAAACTACGAAAAAAGACCAAAAATAGACAGAAAACTACCAAATACAGAAACAAACAACCAAAAATAACCAGAAAACTACCAAAAAAAAGATAAACAACTATGCCAATCAAACATGAATGATCAAAAACAACCAAAAGCAAAACCATCAATGAAAGACACGTACAAAAAGAAAAACTACAAAACAAGACATGAACTACAAAACATCTAAAATCATGACTAACTGGGTTAATCAGCAGTAACACAAACTGAGCCAGTAACTCAAACTGGATTTGAGGTGTTTTGGTTTCAGTTCGGTTAAAATAAGCTCAGATCTGTTGAACCTGCAGAACTTTAAGATGTTCTTCACCTTTGAGCAGCAGAGGAGTGAACGGGATCAGAGGAGGCCTCAGGCTGGTGATCAGGTCTCTGTAGGACTTATGGTTCCTGGACGGGTCCTAGAGAGCAGAGGATCGATACAAACCTGATCAATACAAACCTGATCGATACAAGCCTGATCAATGTAAACCTGATCAGCTCTGATCAATGACATAAAATAAACAATAAAACTCACCGCGATGCTTTCAAACTGCTGGAACTGTTTCCTGAACTTCCCCGGCAGACCCTGAACACACAGAGATCAATACGTTAAGTGATCAATACCTGATAAACATGACAAACAACATGGACAACAGTCATGGATTTATTGATACTTCTATCACAGTTTGTATCAATAATAGAACTGATAAAGAACGAGGCCCACTGATCACATACTGAAGGCAGTAATATAAAACAATGGATCAATAGATGCTGTTCTAAACACACAGAGCGTCTAAACAACGTACAAAGACACACAACTAAAACGACGAGACAAAATGAGCAGAGAGAGACGCACAATTATCGCAAAAACACAAAATGACCACAAGAAAGCAAAAACAAACACCAGAAAGAGACAATGACACCAAGCAACAAACACAGAGATGAAATCCTCCACAAAGAGAAATAAAATCACCACAAACAGATGCAAAATGACAACAAAGACACTCTAAATGTGCACAAGTAAATAAAAATAAACAAACACAAAGAAGACCACAATGTGTAATATTTAATGTTTGCAGCCTGATGCTGAGATCAGTGACTGTGACTGTAGTGGATCTAATGGTGGTGCTGCAGCGCCACCTTCAGGTGTTTTTTAAACTCCGTACCTCCCAGGTGAGTCTCAGCCTGCTGACGGCCGGATTGTCCAAACCCAGAACCACAGCGAGGAAGGAGAGAAGATCCTGCTGCTGCTTACAGCTGGAACACACAACAGCTTCATCAGAACAAATGAAACTCTAGAGAGAGAAAACAAAACAGCTCTAAAACTGAACTCTTCTTCGTTGCTCTGAGCGTGAACTCACAGCGCTGCGATCTTGATGAACTTGCGCAGCAGCTGGATCCTCTTGGGCAGCGACTGACACTGCAGGATCTCCGTGGCGACCCAGTGCTGCACCTCGCTGCAGCGCTGCAGGACCAGCTCCAGGTTCAGGGGGCGCCAGCGAGACTGCTCCCCATGAAACACGTAACACACAAACTCCACCTGACACCAATGAAGAAGAACAACAGCTGTTAAGACATCCATCCATCCATCCATCTATTGTCTATACACCGCTTAATCCTCACTAGGGTCATGGGGGGCTGGAGTCTATCCCAGCTGACTCAGGGTGAAGGCAGGGGACACCCTGGACAGGTCACCAGTCTATCACAGGGCTACACTTAGAGACAGACAACCAAGCACACTCACATTCACACCTACGGACAATTTAGAATCACCAATTAACCTCAACATGCAAACTCCACACAGAAAGATCCCGGGTGTCCTCACTGGGACACAGACCGGGGATCTTCTAGCTGCGAGTTGACGTGCTAAACACCGAGCCACCTTGCAGCCCCCAAACAACTAGTTCTTAGGAAATTAAAAAACGACAAAATAAATCGACAGATAAGTCAACAGTGACCAAAGACAGACGGAAAATAAGACAAAGAAAACCTAACAAATGATCAATAAACAATCAAACAGGCCAAATGACCCAGAAAAAAACTACCGAAAGTGACAAATGACCAAAAAACAGATGAAAAACTACGAAAGAAAATCACAAACGAACTAAAATATACAGATAAATTACCAAATAAGGACTTCAAACAATCAAAAGACTACCTTTGAAAGACAGACATGACCTAAAAACTACAGAAAAAGACACAATGACCAAAAACAGACAGAAAAAACTACCAAAGAAAGACAAATAACCAAAAACATGGGCAGATAAACAACCACAAAAGACACGACTGACCGAAACCAGACGGGAAAACTACCAATAAAAGAAACAACCGATCAAACAACAACCAAAAAAGCCAAAAACAGATGATAAAACTACTGTCAACGCTGGATTTGTGTCTCTGACCAGCAGTGTTGTGTAGTTGTGTGTGTGTGTGTCACTGACCTCGTGCACGCAGCTGAACAGCTCCCAGTCAAACACCACCAGCTGGTTAGAAACCTCCTCAGCTGACATGTCGTGTAGTTTGCTGTCTCCGGGACTCCAGTGGATCTCTTCAGGCAGAGGCAGCTGATGGACGAAACACCGATCGACTGTGAGCATCACACTCTGGTTCTACAAACAAGTCTGATCAGTGACGGCTGGCATCACTCTGGCTGTGTCTGAAATCATCCTCCCATCTCAAGGACTACTACATAGTGAACTATGTGGGGAGCCATAAACACATAAGACATAAACTGTAGTTGCTGTACAGGCCTCCATACACCAGGGGGCGCTTTCATGTATAATATATAGAGCTCATGTATCCTGTATGATTTCCATTTTTAGACTAAACATCTGATTGTTTTAAAGAAATGATTTTGTTTATTAAGGAAAAATTAAAAACTTATAATACTAATCAAATTATTGTTTTTTACGAATTAAAATGCAAAATAATTACATGTTTCATCTCAAGGATGATCATCTAATAAAGAACCTGTTTTTGTTTAATCGTTGTTTTATTGGCGATAGTTAATCGACCATATAAATCAGTCAGTGAGTCAGTTTGTTACCAGTGAGTCCAGTTCGGAGGCCTCGCAGGCGAACAGGTGAGTGTTGACTCCCAGCGTGGTGAAGACGGCCTCATCGCTCGGACGAAACACTGCTTTCTCTAAAAAGACAACACATCCGTTAAATACAGTGAAATGTTTCTCTGAGAACCAACCGGAACCACAAGCGCTTGTTTCTGCATGTCCTGACCTCCGGCTGACGTCACCGCCACCAGGATGAGGTTTCCGGGCAGAACCGGTTGGTCCTCGCTGTACTGCAGCTTCTCTCGGACCAGAGCCAGAATCTCTCCGACCCGGCAGGACAGCCGGCTCCGGATGGTCACGTAGGAATGATCCGGAGTGTAAACCCTGCAGAAGACTGGACACACAAACCACACATGAAAAATTGTGGTATAACCGTGATACTGTACCTTAAAGGAAGAACAAACATGTCAAGTTCAGACTGGAATTATAGTGAAACTGTGAACGTATAGTTGACAGGAGTCATGGGTCAACAGCTATAAGTTAACCATAAGCTAATATAATTTAGTGTAATTCAGGACCATTTGCATCATTCTCTTCAAAATTGCAGAAAAATGTCAACAAAGCAACAGATGCATCACTGACTGTTAAATCCAGCATTTCATTTGTTCAAAATTTGTTAGCTGCTACAAAATTTAGCCGCTAACAAGAAAAGCATAACAAGCATAAATCGATATTAACTTCATTAGCCTATTATGATGTAGCTTTTTAGGCCTGTCAGCTTAAAGGTAGTAAGGCTGCTTAGTTTTGAATTAGCTTCTGTGTCACCTCTGTTTAGAGTTAGCAACTATGTCCACTTAGCTTCAAGCTAGCTTCCAGGTCCCCTTAATGTTAACCCCTTAACAGTTAGTGTCTACGTCACCTACCATAAAATTAACCTCTCATTCTTGTCAGATTAAAATTAGCTTCTAGATCTATCGAGTATAAAGTTATCTTCTAGGTCTTATTAGCTTAAGTTAGCTTGTTGATCCCCTTAGCTTATGGCAGCCTTCTGGGATCCCTTAGCTTACGGTTAGCATCTGCGTCACCTTGCATAAAATTATTCTCTTGGTGAGTGTAAAATGAGCTTCTATTTCCCCTCAGCTTATGGTTAGCACCTAGGAGTTAGCTTCTGGGTTCTGTTTGCTTAAGGTTATCTTCTAGATTCCCTGAGCACTGAGTTAGCTTTCTGGAGCTGCTAGCTTCAAGTTAGTTTCTAGATCCTCTTAATTACCGCTAGCTTTCAGGTCCCTTTAGTTTACAGTTAGCATCTAGGTGAACATAACTTTTTGTTCTTGTTCGGTTAAAATTAGCTTCTTGATCCCACCAGTGTAAAGTTAGCTTTTTAGTGACATAGGTTTAGAGTTAGCCTCTTAAATTCCTTAGCTTACAGTAAGTTTTTTTTGTCAGTTTAGGCTACAATTAGCATCTAGTTATCTTAGAAAAAAGTAACAGTTAGTGTCCAGGCGTCAGATTATTGGTGTCACTGGTGAAGAGATAGTTATCTGGTCCCGTTAGCTTAAAGTTGGCTTCTAGCCGGTTGCTCTTGAGCCTAGGCTCAGTCAAACCTGGCTTAATACAGCGCAGACTGGTGGAGACTAGATGTTAACTAACAGGATATAACATGAAACTCAAATGGACTCTTAGTTGTCAGATGATGGATTGTTTTATCTTTTGAAGGCGCTCATCATGCTAAGCTAGGCTAACTCCTCCTCATGTCCTGCAGCTCTGAAGACATGAAAGGTGTGTGTGTTCTGGGTGTGTCGGTTTGTGATTTGTATATCCGACCACAGTCTGCAGGTGTGTTTGCATTTCAGCGAAGTGTGTATTTACAGATTACACAGTGTAGTACGACTGGTGTTGGTGCACGCGTGCAGGTGTGTGTTGGTGCACGTGTGCAGGTGTGTGTTTGTCGTACTCTCATCAGAGCCCCTAAACGCCTCCCTGGGCTGCAAACAGGCATCGATGCGTCTGAAGTGTCTGAAGAGAGGACGGACCTGCTTCTTCCTGCTTTCCTTCTCCTCATCAGAGCTGTGAAACACAAAAACACACACAGACACACAAAAAACACACGATTAAACATTATTGAAATGGCATCTGTACATAAAATATGCCAGAAATACAATGACGACATGCTAAATTTGTGATTAATATAAATCATAAAGACAAAAACACATTGTCCTGTATAGTGAATGCACTGTGTGAGTCTGAATTAAGGAACCAGTTGTGTGTTGTTGTGTGTCTTACGGGCAGTGTAAGATCTCGGTCCACCTCTGAAGTTTGAGGACGTCCTCGACCAGTTCAGGATACCGAGTCAGTTCCTGAACCGCACACAGGTATAGCTCCTACACAACCAGACACAGTTTAACATGAGCAACTACCAACATTCATATTAATGAACTCACTGAGAAAACAAAAGCTAACAACAAAAAAGTAAAATAAAATGATTTAAAGTTTGCCATATCAGAAATATAGAACGGTCCAATCATGCATCTTTGTTGTTTCATAGATTTATTAAAGTTCTTCTGGAAATATGACAAAATCTGCTGAGTCAGAAGTATACATAAAGAAATGCTAATACTTGGTGAAATGTCCATTTTCACCTTAGTTACGTTGTTTGGTTTCCATTCAGAGGCTTCTGGTTGTATCTTTGACCCTCCTCTGGACAGAATTGATGCAGTTCAACTAAATTTATTGTCTTTCTGACACAGACTTGTTTCTTCATCACAGTCCACAGCTTCTTGGTGAGGTTAAAGTCAGGACTTTGGGCAGACCAGTCCAAAACCTTCATTCTAGCCTGATTGAACCATGTCTCTACCACTTTTGATGTGTGTTTGAGGTCATTGTCTTGTTGGATCTTGAATGTGTCCAAGATCCAACCTTCTGGCTGATGATTTTAGGTTCTCCTTCATTATTCCATTTACTTTGTGTAAAGCACCAGTTCCACTGGCAGTAAAACAGCCCCAGAGCATGATACTGCCACCACCATGCTTAATGGTAGGTTTGGTGTTCTTGGGGTCAACCTCTCTCCGTCAAACATTTACTTTCATTGTGACCAAACAGCTCAGTTTTTGTTTCATCTGACCACAGAACTTTCCTCCAGAAGGTCTTTTCTTTGTCCACGTGATCATCAGAAAACTTCAGTCGAGCTTTAAGGTTCTACTTCTAGAGGAAGAACTTCTGTCTTCATGCAGCCTCTCAGCTCATGTTGATGTAAAACACTGACAGCTGTGTCCCAGCAGCTTCTGATTCATTGCAGATCTGTTTTTTGAGGATTCTTGGTTGACTCTTGCCATTATAACCAATTGTTCAGGTGATAGTTTGTGTTTTCTTCCTGATCATGACAGTGACATAACTGTACCATGCACTTCATAATGACAAGCAGCTGTTTGCACAGATGACTTTGTGACCTGTAGCTGCAATGAAAGGGCTTCAAGTGACTCTCCCGGCTTGTTCCAGTCAGTCATTTGGTTTTTCAGATCTTGGCTGAGCTCCTCAGACTTTCCCACTCCAGTGTTTGTGGCTGAACCTAATGAGTGGATCAAGTGGGCCCAATTTAAATGGGCTCAGAGGAGTCAGCAGCTGTAGTCGATCGTAATGACACAGGAGAAGTTAAGAGGCCATGAAGCTAAGAAAAATTGATGAACGTATGCTCATAATTCAAGTTTACAAAAGAATTTTAGGAAATCTATGAAAGAACCAAAACGCATGATGTTCGTTAAACTGTGTGTGTTGTTGTGTTGTACATTGTTGTGTTGTGTTATTGTGTAACCTTGGGGAAGCTGTTGCTGCGCTCTCCCTCCTCCTGCAGCAGCTCTCTGTAGGTGTCCAGGTATCTAAACGCCACATTCAGCACGGCCTGCTTCCTCTCTGCTCCGTCCATCATGGCTGCCTCTGCATCTTCATCACCTCCTCCTCCTCCTCCTCCTCCTCCTCCTACCCCCTCCCTCCCCCCTCCGTCTCCCTCCAAACTGAATCTGGAAAAAGTTGAGTTCAGGAAGAACCGAGAAGAAGACGTCTGCACAAACTGACCACGGCCACATTCACCGCACTGCATGCGACGCCATCACAACAAACACACACGCAAACAAATACACAAAACAGACACACAAACAAGCGACGTGCGGCTGAAATAAATCAGGAACAAACGTGACACAATAATCAGCAGTTTCAACCTCAGAGAGGAGCAGCAGCAGCAGCAGCAGCAGCTCGGAGACGCCGCCATGATGACCCACATATCACTGCAGACACACACACACAAACACACACATCTGTACACACACACACAGTTTTTTCCAGTTTCTGCCTCTTTGATTGGCCGATGACTTTTTTTTTTTTTTTTTGGTCTTTCTGTCGTCTCTGCGGAGCTCACATTTAGAACAACACTTCCCATGATGCTCGGTTACACTGTAGCACTGGTGCTGCTGTTATATATTATACATGATGACAGAATCAACGAGTCGTGAAACTGAACGCACCGCAACAAAAAGCATTTAATGGAACGTTTGACGAAAATAAATCATAAAAGAAAGTCGATGCTTTTCTGATCTTTCCAACTGTGTCGTACCAACAGAACACATTTCTGAGTTCTCTCTCCGTCTTCATGGTTTTTTTTTTCCACTGAGGTGCAGGAGCAAGAAACGCTCAGAAACTTCTCCAGAGGGTTAAATCTTTCTTACTAATAGACCCCTTAAAAATGATCACAGTCAGTTTTCCAGCTGCATCCTTCAGCTCCATTAAAGCTCTGATATCATGAGCCTGAAATCTGCCCGACAGGTTTTGACTTTTCCACTGAAGCAGCTGATTGGTTGTTTTAGTGGGAGGAGCTGATCTGTTTCTTCTTGATTGGAGAAAGTGAAAAGAAAACATGAAGAAGCTGCTCAGAGGCACAGCAGAGAAACACAAACCTGCGCACAACACGACGACGCTGTGTTTAACCAGCACGCCGAATCAAACACAATCGTTGCTGTTCACAGAGCGACACGTGTGCAAATCTGGGCATTCATTACGAACAATGGACACACAACACAACACAACACTGGCAGCAGGCTTAGAGGATACTGCTGCAGCAGGACTTGCTGGAGCCTGTCGGCCGTCAGGAAGATGGGATGTGTCAACATGAAGTCATCCAGCAGCGTTTCTGCACAGACACACAAACACAGACAGATTAGTACACACTGTACCTGAACACACCTCAGCTGCAGGTAGGGATTCCTGTGTGCACACCTGAACGCAGAGCTGCAAAATGAATTTACAGTTTACAACAAGCAGTGGGCGTCAGATGATTCCAAACTGTACCACCTCTCAATAAACTGCAGTATGTTTAAATTAAAGAGCACATCAACAATCAGGAACTAATTCTTTACAAAGACTGTATTAAAAGTTCAGGCCCCAAAGTAGAAACTCAGAGGGACCAAAGTGAGTCCACCTGTGACTTCCAATCAGTCTCACTGCATGAACATGGTTCTGAAATGAGGTCTTAGTTTTGGGCCTATGGGCTGTGTCTATCTGCATGTCTGCATCATGGCTCCACATGGAGAAGAACTGAACAGAGGAACTGAAAACTCTGAGACTTCACAAAGATGGAAAATGATCCAGGAAGATCAGTGAGCAACTAAAAATCAGTGAAACACAGTGTCAGCAGTAATCAGGAGGTACAGAAGGAGCCATAGTACCACTAATCAGAGCTGCAGTGGTCATCGTCCTAAAATGACTCCACAGACAGTGAACTACTTTCACAATCTAGCCGTGAGAAACAGACGGCAACTTATCAATGGAAACCAGAGTTTCTGTGCAGACAGTGTGAAGGACACTTCAGAACATCAACCTCTATGGATGGAGGATGAGAAAACATAATTCTGCTCAGAACAAAACATCCAGATGAAAGTCAGCTAAAGAACATGACAAGAAGCCTGATGAATGTTGGGAGAACATTTTGTGGTCAGATGAGATCAAAATAAACTTGTTCAGCTCAGATGGACTCCAGCATGTTTGATGTGAACCTGCCCAGGACCACCACAGTGAATAGTCCTGACAGTGAAGCACGGAGGTGGGAGGGTGATGATATGGGGCTGCACGAGTGCAAAAGGTGTTGGGGAGATGATGTTTAAAGGCAACCACAGATGAACCTGAAACAGATTCTAGAAAACAATAAAAATAGTGTTTAAAGGTCTGAGCCATAGTGGACAATAAAAGTAAGAGAAGAGAGAACGATGAAGAAAACAGAGAAGAAGAGCAGATGTAACTGCAGCAGACACGCTGCTATTGGTCCCAATCACTTGATCGATCAGTGAACAGGAGAGAATAGTAGAGTCACATGACGCTCAGACATCATCAATCCTATTTCTATAGCACACATTCACTTACACTAATCCTTATTCATGAAGATATCTAGTTATGAATGACAGGTTCCTGCTGTCACATGCTGTTCATAAATAACTTCTACTGTTCATATAAAAAATAAATCCAAATCGGTCAATACCTACAACAAAGAGACACAAACTGACCACTGACAGGCACAAAACGAGACAAAATGACCCTAAAACTAAGCTGTCAGTTTCAGAGCAAAGACTCTACTCCGAGAGTAATCTGATTACTCTAAGGTAAGGCTGACATTTAGGGATCCCTGCACAGAGGCTGCAGACTGTTAAATGTGGGTCACGAGGACACATTCAGCCTTGAAGAGGTTCTTCTTTCAGAATAACAACGGCGCAGCAACATTCGTCAGCTTTACAGGCAGAAACAAACACATTTTACTGGATTTGATATTTTCTAAAGAAGCACAAGAAGCAGCTTTTTCTTCTTCTGAAGCAGCTGCTGCAGCCAACAGCTGGAATTTAAGATGCTGAAGCAGCTCGACTCCAAAACCTGTGGTCACATTTACTAAAATACACTGCTGCTGCTGCTGCCGCTGTGTGTGTGTGTGTGTGTGTGTGTGTGTGTGTGTGTGTGTGTGTGTGTGTGTGTGTAAGGCATGCTGCAGTGGGCGTGGCCTGTCGTCGGGGTCCGCCTCTCTGCAGGCGGTTACCATAGAGACACCACGTTGCCGATAGTGAGAGGATGAAAAGGGAAATGTGAGAGAAGAAGAAGAAGAAGAAACAGTGAAGAGACACAACAGGACGACGTGTTTGTATTGATTTAAGAATCAGACTGATCAGCGATCAATGACATATCAGCTGTGTTCTGTATTTTAATGGTTCAGTTATGAGCGTCTCACTGAGTATTCAGATAATTTATTGAAGTAAAAGTACAAATAAATAGTGAAAAATACTCCTAGTACACAGTAAAACATATTCGGTTACAAGTACAAGGTCAATCAGGAAAATGTTCTGTACGAAAAACGTCTCCTGTGACTCTTGTATCAGACTTTTACGTCATTATTACTCATACATCAATATAAAGCCGCCATTTCTGCAGTTGGTGAATGTGCAGCTCATATTAACGACTCTGTGCACTGTAAAAAATGTACGTTTTCTTAAAGTTTTTAATTGTAGTTTCACCTGTTTTGATAAGTTGCAGATAACATCAAGTAAAATCAGAGAAAAAAAGTATTAATTTACATATTTACCCTAAAAAAAAGAGGCCAAACTGTAGATAATGTTCACCTGAAAATCTGGATTTTCACAGTGAGAACGTGAAAAAAACGGAGCCACAGTGAGCTAGAAGTGTAGCAGGAGAAAAACAGGCCCGAAGACTGCTGCTTGGAGTTCAGAGGGTTACAACTTTGGATTTTAGCATTATCTTGTGTAATTTGATGTTTAAGTTGTCCAATTGTCAAAATCATCTTAGATTTTTCAGTGAACAGTTGCTCAGACTGTTTTTAATACGTGATGGAGAAACATCCTCATTTTTACAGACACGGAGCCTGTAAGTTGAAAGATGATGAAACTGATATTTAAATGCAAACGGCGACACAAGCCTCAGCTCCAGTATTAAAAAAGACTCAAATCTGTGTGTTTTATAATCAAACACGTGCAGCGACTGCAGAAAAATCATCAGAGTCTGAGCAGAGAGAAAAGATGGCGAGAACACAGTGAAAGAGTGTGAACGTGGGAGGAGGAGGAGAGAAACCGGCTGAATCCAAATGGGATGGAAAAATCGCCCACAACCTCCGAACAGAAACACTGAAGGAGGATTTCAGTGACACAAAACACAGAGTTCTGGATCACCACAGCTGAGCACGACGACAAATGTTCACAGCGAGCTTCAGCTGTTAACGCACAAACCCGTCGTCTGACACCGAAGGCAAAGTGTCACCTGAAGGTCGGAAGAAGTTCAGTGATGGAGAACCACTGGTGATCATGACTGTAGCCACAGACTGATGTCTTTGAAGTAAAACAGCTACAAGTTCACCCCACACACTGTCTCAGAGTGCGTACTGAGCTGCTGAACTCTAAATTGCTGCCAAAAAGTTTGTAGTGAAGTAACATGTTTGTTGGTAGAGGAAGCATGAATCCATCGCTGCAGCACCGAGTAGTGCGCTTGTGTCACCACACATGCAACCTGCTGTGGTCGCTTCTGCTCTTTTTTCTACTTTTTAGCTTCATATTTCATTTTATTGTCCTATTTAATTTCTCCTATTTTTACTTTTTAGGTCATATTTTCTACTTATGTTTATCCATATGTTTTGTACTGTTTATGTTTTTAAGACCTTGAATAGGAGCAACTGTGACATCATTCATTCTGATTCTGTAACTCTGACAGAAGTCTGGAAACATCTTCCAAACACTGAAAATGTGGTTTTAAAAACACTATGGTGACTCTAAACTACAGCTGCAACAAACAATGATTTCCATTTTTTATGATTGTTATGATATTTAGCAAATAATCTCTATCTCAATATCAAGTTCCTGCTAACATAGCGACCAACACAATCTTGTTATCTTGTTTAAGCTAATAGAGGCTAACGTCTTGTGTAGGCTTGCATAGCAGTTGACACAATCTTGACATGAAGTTCCTGCTAACATAGCGACCAACACAATCTTGTTATCTTGTTTAAGCTAATAGAGGCTAACGTCTTGTGTAGGCTTGCATAGCAGTTGACACAATCTTGATATGAAGTTCCTGCTAACATAGCAACAAACGCTATCTTGTTATTTTGTTGATGTTACCATAGAGGCTAATATTATCTTGCTTAGGCTAACATGTGACTAACACTATGTTGTTAAAATTAATTTAGTCATATTATAATAGCATTATCATCTTGTTCAGGCTAACATAGCGACCAACAGCCTCTTGTAGTCTTATGTAGGCTAACATAGCAATTAACACAATCTTGATATCAGATTTCTACAAGAAAATAAGTAATACTAGCTTGTTTTCTTGCTAAGGCTAACATAGCTTGCCTAGGCTAACACAGAGGCTAACATTACCTTGTTTAACCTAATAAATAGGCAAACATTATCTTGCTTAGACTAACATTGTAACCAACGCTATCTTGATTACGTATTGCCTAATGCTAACAGCTAAATTTATCTTCTTTAGGCTAACATAGCGACTGAAACTACTTTGTCATCAAGTTTTGGCTAACATAGAGGCCAATATTATCTTGTTAATATTAACATCGGGACTAACGCTATCTTGTTTAGGCTAACATTATCTAACCTGGGCTTACATTGCAATTGAGACTATACTGATATCAAGTTTCTGTTGTGATAGCAACTAATGTCATCTCGTTATCTTAATTAAGCTACCATAGAGGCTAACATTATATTTTTTAGGCAAACAGAAGTTAATGTCATATTGTTTAGGCCAACATAGCAACAAATACTATCGCCTGTCATTTTGTTAGCTTGTTCAGGGTAACGACTACTAACTTAGCAACCAACAATATCTTGTTTATCAAGTACTGGCTAATGTAGTGGTTAATTTTATCTTCTTTGGCAAACAGAGCAACTAAAGCTATTTTAAATTTCAGCTAACACAGCAGCTACCATTATCTTGTCTATGCTAATGTAGCAATGACCTTTAACGTTAGTCTCCTTAACCCATGAATAAGATCTTTTGCTATTCAGTCGCCATATTTATGCCTACTCATTAATAGAGACTGAAGTCAACTTTAAAGTTTATATTTATATATTAAGCTGTGTGTGTTACCACATACATTTTTTTAGCACTGATTTGGTGTTTAGAATCAGTGTA